GAAAAACAAACTAGAAAGCACCAAAACTTGTAAGTGCCGTCAAGTCACCTGCGACTCAGAGAGATCCAGTGAGTAACAGCTAAACTCTGCTCTGTCCTGTGTTAGTCTTATTCTCTCTGACACATCTAAACCTATTACCCCAGTCACTGAACTGATCTATCTCACTGAGAGTCTTCCTCTCTTGTGCTGTCACTCCACCCTCCTTGCAACATGTCTAAAGTATGTAGATGAAGCTTCAGAATCCTCACTTCCAAGGAGCAGCCTGGTTTCACCCTCTCTAGGATGAACCTGTTTGTTCTCCTAGAAGCCCATGGTGTGTTCAATACTCTTCTCCAGCACCACACCTCAAAGGCGTCAATTCTTTTATTGTCCCTAGTCATTGTTGGAGACTAAGGTGCGTCTGATACAGACCATGGTCTTTGCAATCACTTGTTATTCATCAGAGAGTTGGACAGTGACTAAGGAGGATAGAAGGAGAATTTATGCCTTTGAGCTGTGGTGCTGGAGAAGAGTATTGAGGGTAGCATGGACTGCTGGGAAAACAAACAGATTCATCCTGGAAAGGGTTAAACCGGGTGGCTCCCTGAAGGCAAGGATTCTGGGGCTTCGTCTGACATACTTTGGACATGTTGTAAGGAGGGACTGGTCCTTGGAGAGGGACATCATGCTTGGGAGGGTGGAGGGACAGTGCAGGAGGGGAAGGCCCTCTATGAGGTGGATTGATTCAGTGACTGGGGTAATCAGGATGGGTGTATCAGAGACAGTGCAACTGGCACAGGACAGAGCAGAGTTTAGGGCTGTTGTACCTAGGGTTGCTATGAGTTGCAAATGACTCGACAGCACATAACAAGTCATTGTCCAGCTTCTGATGCAAAACAAGTAATTGCAAAAATTATGGCCTGGCTAGGCGCACCTTAGTCTCCAGAGTGACATTGTTGCTCTTCAGTACTTTGGATAGATCTCTGACAGCAAACTTTCCCAATATAATTAGTCTTTTAATATCCTGGCTGCTGGTACCAAGAGTGTTGACTGCGGAGTCAGGCAAATGAAAGCTGTTAACAATCTCAATCTCTTCACCCTCTATCATGATGCTGCCATGCCCAGTGGTTAGAATCTTTGTTTTCTTGATGTTGTGCTTCAATTGATATTGAAAGCTGTAGTCCTTAACCTTCTGCAACAAGTGCTTCAAGTTCTCCTCCATTTCAGCAAGCAGGGTTGTGTCATATGCATAATGTAGACTGTTGATGAGAGAGCCCAGCCTTCTGGATAATCTGTTCTGCATATAGATTGAGATGGTTTGACGATAGTACACATCCTGGTGTATACCCTTTCCAATTTTTAAACCATGCAGTGTTTCAGTGTTTCCTTGCTCTGACAACTACCTCCTGATCCAAGTATGGATTTGTATAAGCAAAATAAAATGTTCTGGGATTCCCAGTCTCCTCAGAGTAAGCCAAAGTCAAAACTTACCTTAGTCAAAAGACGGTAAAACCTGACAATTCCAAGATTTATTCCAAAGCTGTATACCCAGACAACTTGTAGAAGTAAATTTTACTGAACTCAGGCCAGCACCCTCAGTTATAAATACCTTCTTGTAGCCATGTGCACCTTTTTTGGGCAAGTTACAGCTCTCCCACATGCATGAGATGGTTAAAGAAGCTGTTAAACTTCTTTACAGGAAATAGTCCCCTGGTAGAGGCTGCCACTGCCAACTGGTTCAGAGAGTGGCTTAATGTTTGTGTCTAAAATCTCAAACTTTTTTCAAAGCTATAGGGGTCACTGGAAATCTGCATACAGCCGATAAGCCTCAGCATTCAAAACAAGTAAAAAAGAAATAGAACCCTCAAAAACCACCCAAGAAATCTATCCAGATCTATTAAGTAAATATTATTAACTAAGGTTTCATATTTATTTTACAATTAATAAATAATGTTGGAATTAGTGTTTCAATGTTAGTAGAGGTATTGTTTCAATGTTGGCAGAAGCACAAAAATTAAGAAAAAGAAATTATGTAAAATCTCCTCAGTATTGTGTGTGTACTCAAGTCAGACTGGTCCGTTAGATTCTTGCTTACAAAATGTTTAACCTACCCTTCCAATCATACTAGTTATAATGAAAGTCTTATCATACCCAAATTCTCCATTAATCTTACTGTTTTAGGCTGGACCTCATCCCGTTAACTACCTTTTTTCAAACTTTTCAGCTGAAATTCAGTTCTTGTTAAAATGTAAAAATGTTTTGCAGCCTGTGTCAATCAGACTGTGATAAGTTATCCTGACTACTCCCACTGTATTAAAAATTAAAAAAACCCCCCTGTGGATTCATTTCTCATACGTGAAAGCAGCACCCGAGTCGTGAAAGTTAACCTGATGATGTCCACCACTCCATCTAATGAATGTTCATCAGCATCAACTACACCATGTGGAGACAGTTGTAAACCCCATCAGACCTCTTCAACCAGAATCTTGTTCTACCTACTGCTGCTCCTTTCTCTCACCACCAGCCACTGGCTGCAATCCTGCTGCCCACTCTGGTCTCCATACTCTCTACAATGTACCTGTCCCTCAACATGATTCATTCTAGACTTTCTTCTGATTACTGGCTTTGCCTAGGTTCTAAGTCACTCCACAATCTATTAAGTCAGGATGTATAAAAACTGTCATTCTTGATACTTCCCTATTTTGCCCCTAAATAGCACTTAGCTAACTTAAATAAATAGCTTGTCAAAATGTCTTCAAAGGTCACTAGTAACCAGACCTATCTCATGTGTCTTTCTCTCTCAAATGTTTACAGTGGCCAAGAAAGGCTAAAATGTATTCATCTGCCAGGCCACTGTGCTGCCAAACAGACCTTCCCTGTAACACCTATTCTTATAGGTCTCAGTACTGCTGGAGCAGGAGCTTTCCACTCCATTAGTCAAAAGAGACATGCAAGTATCTTAACAGCCTTCAACGTGCTGTTTTCCTTCTGTATAACCAAGTTAAATCTCTAACCAAAGTTATACTCAAGAACTGATAATGTTTTACACCTCCTGTTTCTCAAGGGGGTTGTGTGCTACTTTAAGAGAATCATGTTGCTTTTATGCCAATCAGCCAACTGTGGTGGTTTTTTTTTTTTTTGGTTGGGTGGTGGTTGTTTTTTTTCAGCAGAGTGGTGTTATTAATATTCTGTAAAACATAAAAAATAGTATCTTATAGTCTTAGTATCTGAAAATGTTTATCTAGAATCACTAGTCAACTTCCGTACTCTCTAGAATCCCAAGACCCCTAACACTTTTGTTCCTCCTCTTCCTAATTAGACTATGCATCTTAATCACATAATCCAGTCTGCTCAAACTCAGATTGAGTCTGTTAAACTTGTTTTTATCTCAGTATTATGAGCCCCTAGCAACTGAAAACGCTAATGAACACTCAGTCATTTAAGTTTGTACAAACAGGAGGAGGGAATGTAGCAGTAGCTTAAATGTTAAGAATCAGAGAAGCCATTTTGTTCTGACCGCAATTTTTAGAAACGTATGCCTTAATAATAATGTAATAATATAATATATATAATTTGATATGTATAATAATAGAATAAGAATGTGTAATATATGGTAATAATATGTGTTGCTAAGGTTTACATTTCCTACATGCCGACCCAGCTTGATTACTATTCCTTAACTATATCCTGTACCTGGTCTGGGGCCTGGATACCCATGAGAAGTCTGAAACAATAACAACTGCCAAATGTGTGAAGAAATCACAACTGCCAATAACAATGAACTTTGTGCAACCCTCATGCCCAATTTCTTTATCTAAACCCAATCTTTTCTTCCCCTCAGGCTTGGAGCAGTTTGGGCAACAGTTGATGATCTTTACCCAGGCATAAATAGTTTGTTCTGAGAAAATGAGAACCGAGGCACAAACGGAGCCTTATATTATACACCAATGTTCATAGCAGTGTTATTCACCATCAGAAGAACATGGAAACAGTTCAAATGTCCAACCAGAATCGAATAGATTGAGAAATTATGGTACATGCACAAAATGGAATACCATGTAGTACGCAGGAGCAATGATTTTGTAAATTATTACATAACTTAGGAGGGACTGGAAAGCATTATGCTGAGTGAACTAACTTAATCCTACAAGGATAAATATTGTATAAAACCATTATTTTAGAATGAGTATAAGTATCCAAGAGGGGTGGGAGAGGTTGGAAGCAGAGGGATGAGGATGTGCTGGGGGTGAGGGGCAGGGATTCATCATGTGGTTGTACAATTTCATGGGGGGGGGGGAATGAAAGACTCTGTTCTCAAAAACAATGTAATCGAATTTTGTAAATAACTAGTATAAAATTTTTTAAAAAAAGGTGTTAATTTCCAATATTAGCTGAGTGTTTAAATCTCGCATTTTCTGCCATAACAACAGAAGTTTATGTTTGTTTCTAACAGTAAAGTAGGTACTTCATGCTTTACATGGTATAGATATTCTTGGTAGGTAGATTTTTAAGTGGCTTATTAATTGGTTTAAGTTCATGGACAACCTAAGACATATTACTATTTTTTCCATGTAGAATAATAGAATACAGGTTCTCAACTCCAAAATTCACACAGGTTTTCAGGAACAAACTAAACTGGACAATGTAAATAAAAGTGCTTTATAAACTAGAATATAATTTGCAGATCAATGTAAACAGTCACCATTTTCAATTAAATCCAGAGAGTAACAGAATTTCTCTGTGGCTGGAACAGTGCTCTGAGGAACCATCTCGTCAATCACCTTGTTCAACAGAAAGATGAACACTGAGGTTCAATCAGCCAGTTAGCTTTTCCACGTTTCAATTCTATATTTTAAAACACTAACAGTAACACCTTTACTAGGCACTTTTAAAACTTTTAATACAGTGTGTTTACAAGACAAAGACTTTTTAAATTGCCTGGAACTTGGCATGTTGTTGTTATGTATCATCAAGTTGACCATGATTCATAGTGATCCTATGCACAATAGCTCTGAATCCCGCCTCAATAAATGTTTGTTATTGAAATTAGACTTATGGGATTGAGTTGTTATTAAAGTTCATCCTGGTCGCTCCTCTCTCGTGATGAAACCCAACGACTTAAAATCACCTCCTGAAAGCAAGCAGAAAAAAAACTCAACTGAAAGTCAAAAGGGGAAAAAAAAGAACATTGCTAGCACTTGATAACCACAGCTCCAAACAGAGCTGCCAGACGCCAACGAGGGCTTCTGGAAGGGTGTTTATGAGCAGGAGTACTTCTGGTCTTTGGGGGTGTGAAGCCCAGTGGGACCTGGTCAGGAGGGTATAACAGATTGTCTTGAAGAGTGGAGTCAGCTGAGTTGTGGGGATGGAGCCAGAGTCCATGCCCTTAAAGCAGCAGCAAGGAGTTAAGGGCCAGTGAGAGATGGGATGAATTGTGTGCCCACTGAGTTATAGGGTCAACAATGAGACAGGCTGATGGGCCTAGGAGGGCTTTCTGTTCTGAGGCAAGACAGTTTCCATGCCTTTTCTTGGAATTCTGCATTTGAGATGATACAAGCAAGGTGCATGCTTTGAGATGACAGCTTTGTCTCTCAGTTTACCTACCTGGACTTTAATTCTTTTCATACATTCTGGTGACTCCATTTCTTGGTCAGTCATAGTAGAAGGTTTAATCAAATAGCATAGCATAAGTTCCTGTTGAGTAACAAAAAATAATTTTCAAAGACTCAGTAATAACAGTGAGCATGTTGGCAGGAAAGGTGGTCCTGGAAAACACTGCTTTGTGGAAACTGAAAGCCATCAGTTTCTCCCAAAACATTATAATTCAACTCACGTTTTTACTTAAGACTTGCCATTTAGTAAGAATAAGGTAAGTAAAAATAGCTAAGTTGATTGTGTAGTATGTAAAATATGAACTACTGTTACAGGTTCCATTAAGAGAGCAGCATGATACTAGAAAGAGCAAGTACATGGTTTCCAAGGATGAAGCAAACTGAGACAGATTAAAGACTAAACAACTTCACTTGCCCTCATGGCCAGCCATTGTTCAGCCCAATCAGACATCTGGTTCACCTCCCACCACATCTCCAGCAGCTAAGGAGGAGCGACATCATCTGTTTACAATCAGCAAATTACTGGCCACACCAAGTTTTCATTCTTAATAGTTCTGGTGTAAGGTGGAATCTCCCTCTAATCCTTGAAGGGAGTAGTTGTTGTGTACTACTGAATTGGAACTGACCCAATGCTGACCCTTCTGGGAGTTATCAGAGGCAGTATAATCACATGGGAAGACATGGCTCATTTTTCATCTGCAGAGAAGCTGGTGGATTTGAACCATGTACCTTTGGGGTTAATTGGAGTCTGACTTCAGTTTCGTCTGATCCCACGCTTCTGAAAGTGATAGATTTAATCTAACTACCCCATTCACCAGAGAGTGAGGTCGAGCTCCCTGATTAAAACAGCTTCGAAGGAGGAGTGGCATCCACTTCCGTAATAGCTTGCCTCTGGAAACGCTATGAACCTGGAGAGAGGGTGAAAGGCATCCAAGTGTCGAGGACTCTCCTTCATAGGGTCGCTATGAGTCGCCTGCGACTCAACAGCACTTAACAACAACAACAAAAACAACCGTTGGGGTGGTAGTGTTATTCTTACCACTAAGCTACCATTGCTATCTTAGTAGCAGGTTGCCTGAGAACCTGGGTTTAACCTCTAGTTCTGCATGTGAACAGTAGGATCTTAGTCAGTCACTCAGTGCCTTTGAAATTCATTCCCCATTCTTAGGATGAGGATAATGACATGAGATTATAAGGTGGAAGTAAGTTGACACAAGAAGCTGCTTAACTTCAGCTTGACAGTTCAAATTCACCTAGAAGTAACATAGTAGGTCAGGTGATCTATTTTCAGAACTCCAGGCTTAACAGACCCATGGAGGCCAGCTCTTACTAAGGACACATAGAGTGCATGAGTCAAAGCTGACTTGCATGGCCTTGGCCCTTGGTGGTACAGGGTTCCCATGAGAGAACACATGCAAAGCATTCAGCAGTAAGATCAATCCCTTCCCTCTCTTCACAGGATCTGCAAACTTTGTAAAGACATGTGTCCTGCTTTGCCCCTTTGCTAACGTCTGTGTGCGTGTGTGTCTGAGCAGGTGCTGGCTGTGTTTGCAAACTGTAACAGGAAACTTATAGCAAAGAAACCTCAGACAAGAAATTCAAAGCACAGTCAGAGTCAGTGGGAGGAAAGGAACACAAAAGTACATCACTAAAGGGGGACAATCTAGTGCCCACAGGAAGGAAGCAAAAGGTGCCAGAACATCATGAAGTTGCTCCAGTGACTTTTTGATCCTGCCACATTAAAAGCAAAGAAACCCCTCAGTCACTTAAGTGACACATCAGTGCTAAAGCAGATGTTCTGTTACCTTCGAGACATTAACTGAGACCCTGCTTAGGGCTGCCAGTGACTTCCAGCTGAAAGGTCTGCGAAGAGATCCTTCAAAATGGTCATCAACCAGCTCAATGATGACAGAGTAACTGGAAAATATGTAGGAACTGCTTAAAAAACAGTAAAGTGTGACAGCAACTCATTCAAACAGAATACTGTTTGTTCTAAAAAGAAATAAAATGTACACAGTCTGTTTTGTAATTCCCCTAGACTACTACTGATAAACTGGTAATTAAAAACTCACTTTAAATTACAACTTTTAGGTTGATTTCAACACTTACCTCATGAAAGGAACAAAAATATTTTCCTAACATGAAAGCTGATCTTAAGCTGAAAAATCACTTAGTAGTAACTTAATGTAAAATACTAAAATACACATCAAACCTACAAACTTCCTATAAAAGACATTTATTTAGTATATATCCCAAAAAAGCCAAGAAGAACACAACTTTGTTCCTATGGCACTGACAATAAGACTAAAGGCCATTAAGTTTCTCCTGTATCTTTAAGCTGCTAATTTATTTAAAAATAACTCCAAACCTTGCATGGTAAAATGGAGGGCCTTTCCGATACAGCACTGCAAAGAAGGGAGACAAAAAGAAATAATTCAGAATCAAAAGTTACATTATTATCTCCTTCTCAAAAGGGAAGTAAATACTCAACTATTCATATGTGGATAATCTTTAATATCCTGAAGTTTCTCAAAATGTACAAGTGTTTTTTTCTTCTGAACAAAATGCAATTATTCACTCCTTCACTCACTCACTGCCACCAACTCCTATAGTGAGTTTCTGGGGGCGGTAAAGTCCAACAGAATACAGTCCATCTTTCTTCTGTGGAGCTGCTGGTAGGTCTGAATCACCAGAAAGGCTTGGCTTGTGAGTTAGCAGCCCAACTCCCAACTCATTGGGCCACCAGAGCTCTCCAAAGAGCAATTGGTAAAGCTAATCTGTTGCTGAAACCATAGCCCTTACCCTTACTGGTCCTTGTCTCTGCTCTACATCACCAAGAGTGAGAGCATGAAATAAAATGTGGGTCAACACTTTTGTTAATTATGTTTGTGTAATAGGTTCCAGGTCTTAGGAAAGATGCTTTCGGTAGATAGGAAAAATAGTTATGCCATTTAAAAAAAAATCTAAAGTCAAGTGGGAAAAATACCAGAGAGTGCTCCATGCCATTTGGCATTACCTGACCTATCACTGATGGGTACAGCCTATGCTGATGAAGCACCACTTGAGGAAGGAGCCAGGACTAAGGCTCTGTGAGAGGGAATCACAACTTAACCTCATGTACGTAAGAGCACAACCTTGCTCCATAAATTTGCAATGGCTGAATTTTCACAAGTTGATGGCCAGACATTCTTTCTAGGTATCCCTAACTAGACTTAAAACTCAAGCCTGATCACAGTAAGCAGGCAAGCACATTAAGTATTTGTACCATTTGGAAAATCTAGGGAGCTCTTTGGAGGCACACAGTTTGTGCAGGAACTGGCTTCCTGCACACTAAAGTTCCAACTACTTTTCTTTCTCCTCCCAGATATGTGGTTTGAGCATTTCCCAGGTTTGGAAGTGGTTGGGCATGCAGAGTGTCTAGGTTCTGACGAGCAGAATGGGCTGTTGCTTTCAGGGTGGTCCTTACCATTCTCTCACATACAAAGTCTACATTCATTCCTTTTTGGGACTTATCCACGAAGTCCATGTGTTCTAATGTGGAGCCACAGAAAGCAATCAGAAACACTGCTTTGGACTTTGCAGAAACAAAAAGACGAGTAATAAATATGTTAAGCAGTTGGGACTTTGAAGACTTAAGTAACAGCTAGCACGGCCTTAGCTAACACACAATTACATCTGCACACTCTTGGCTGTCTCCTCTGTGAGGAGCCCACGGCTGCAAAGTCCAGGAAGTGGTATACTATTTCTTTTCAGAATTATAAATCCTTCAGCTAATTAAGCATTTCCCCCTTTGGATCAGAAAGTGCAGAGCCAAAATGATACAAGTTCACTCTGCACAGGCACTCAGGAGTGACGCTGGAACCCTTCACCTCATAATCTAGATTGTGTTTTCTAAGGTCACTTTTTTTTTAATGGCTGTATGTCCTATTTAAATTCTATTTAAGCTACCTGGCAAGTCTGCTCAAATTTGCTCTGTAGGGGAACAAGTGTAAATAAATATGCAAACATGCACTCTTTGACTTTTGAGATACAATGTAATGGAAGGAATCATAGTGTTGGAAGAAAATGGAAATTCAGGAATGGGTTCCCCCCTCTAATCTTGGCCACTCTATGTTAAATTAGCCAAATTCATAACTTTTCTAAGATGCAGTTTCCAAAATTATAAAATGAAGACAGCAGGGAAAATGAAGTCCTTTTCTAGGCCTAAAGTATTATTTATGATTAAATGATACAATTTTAATATACTTAGAATACTATACCATTTGTGAGCATCACAAAATTAGATCATTTCTGATGACTAATATTGCTAGAAAAGGCCTTTATGATTGGTAGAGGCTCTCAATGCAATGCACTGACATAACAGTCACAGCAAAGACTTGAGCACACCAACAAGTGTGAGAACCTGGCAATGGTTTGCTGTGTTATACATGAGTCTGAGCTGACTTAATGGTAACTAACAGTAACAACAAATTATGATGGCTGGACAGGTTGGAACTCAGAAACACAAACACCAGCTTCAGACAGTCTTGAGCTTAGGTCTTGGTAGCATCAGGTCCATGCAACAGCTCTCTGCGCTTCTGTTCCCTTATGTAGAAGGCTCGGCAGTGGCTAATCTATTTAATTGCTAAAAACCAGTTATTCATCATAGTACTAATAAAAATGGTATGTACCTACAGGAAAAAAATAAAACTGGCTTTCTGTGGTCTGTTCCCCACCTACCCAAACACCTCCTAAGCAGAAAGATGAAAATGTTAGAAGTCTGAGGAACACTGTCCATTTAAGAAATATTGAAGATGCACGAAGGAAGAAAGGAAATGCTTTTCCTTACAAGGAATTGCCAGCAAACATAAGAGATTAGAAAGTACTGATCACCACAATCATTATCTCTGGCAATAACCATCACTTCTGGGAAAGGAGGCGTCATAGTACAATTTGAAAGTATGATGCCAATCAAAACAACTATGACATATCATCTCACCCCAGTCAGAATAGCAAAATTTAACAGAACAGCAAGCAACAAATGCTGGCGAGGTTGTGGAGAAACTGGAACCCTTATTCACTGTTGGTGGGAATGTAAAAGGTGCAACCGCTGTGGAAGGCAGTATGGCGCTTTCTCAAAAAGTTGCAAATAGAGATACCATTTGACCCAGCAATTCCACCACTGGGAATATACCCCAAAGAGACCTGACATCCAAGCAGATATATGTACACCCATGTTTATCGCAGCTCTGTTCACAATAGCAAGGAGTTGGAAACAACCCAGGTGCCCATCAACAAACGAATGGATAGAGAAGCTGTGGTATATTCACACAATGGAATACTATGCTGCATTGAAAAACAAGGAACTCATTCAATATTATTCAAAATGGGTGAGCCTGGAGGACATTATGCTGAGTGAAATATCTCAGTCACAAAAGGACAAACATTGCATGGTGCCACTGCTGTAAAATAGGACTGATATCAGGGTGGGGGTAAGACTGAGAAAAACTGGATAAATTGTGTATACTGCACTGAAACAGATGAGGGACTGAATAATTTAAAAGCGATGTATGATAGGGTATTATGGTTATCACAAGAGTCCACAATTAAGGTTGCATAGTGGAATGTACTTGGGGCGGTGGGACGGGTGCGGGGGGATTGTGTACCAGGGAGGGAGTCTTTCTTTTATTTTGAAAGAGAGGAGCGAACTGGGGGACGGGGGGAGAGGGCTGGGCGGGTAGAGAAGCAATGAATGAATGGAAATCCAAATTCTCTGTAAATGTTCATTAAAATTATTTAAAAAAAGGAAGTATGATGGCATAAATTCCTTATTAATAACAAAAGAGAAACTGCAATTGTCACTGGACATCTGACTTTAGTATCGGTTATTCTGATAGTAGGGCATGGCGAGTTCTCCTCTTATCTCTAAGTGATGAGAAAGGATGAACGTGAGTCTAATGCAGAGAAAACCAAACAGAGTCAGAATGTCAGGCACCCTACAATTCTTTAAAAAAGTCAATGTGATAAAAACCAGCAGAAGCACTTCACCAAAGAAGACATTCAGGTGGAAAACAAACACATGAAGAAATGTTCAAACTCCCTAGCTCTAAGAGAGAGGCAAATCAAAATAACTATGAGATATCATCTCACCCCAGTCAGAATTGCAAAATTTAACAGAATAGCAAACATCAAATGCTGGTGAGGCTGTAGAGAAACTGGAACCATTATTCACTGTTGGTGGGAGTGTAAAATGGTGCAACCACAATGGAAGGCAGTACGGCGCTTTCTCAAAATGTTGCAAACAGAAATACCTTTTGACCCAGCAATTCCACTACTGGGAATTTACCCTAAAAGAAACCATAACTGCCACCCAAGCAGATATATGCACACCCATGTTTATTGCAGCTTTGTTCGCAGTGCTGGAAACAACCCAAGTGCCCTTCAACAAATGAATGGATAGAGAAGCTCTGGTATATTCACACAATGGAATACCATGCAGCATTGAAAAACAAGGCACTCATGAAAATGGATGACCCTGGAGGACATCACGCTGAGTGAAATATCTCAGTCACAAAAGGACACAAAACAGGACTGACATCAGGGTTGAGGGAAGGCAGAGAAGGAGGGGAAGAATGATGTATATTGCATTGAAACAGATGAGGGAAAGAACTGTTTAAAAGGGATATATAATTGGGTATTATCGTCATGACAGGAGTCCAGAATTAAGGCTGCATAATGGAGTGGACTTGGGGGCAGGGATTGCATAACAATGGAAAAGTTTTTCTTTTACTTCTCAAGAAGAATGGGGGAGAGGGGTAGTCAGGGAGTTGCTTTAAGTTACTCAGTTCATGGGACTGTATTAGTGTAGCCCTAGAAACTAATAAAAAGATGCAACAACCAAATATAATAAAGCAATCTTGACTATAACATTTTCATTAAAAAAAATTCCCAACAATAACTATTACAAAACATTAAAAAGCAAAACACAAAAATAAAAGTCACAAAAAGTGCAACAATGAATGACTGGAAACCATTAAGTCTCTGTAAACTTTCATTAATGTTAATTAAAACGAAACACGAAGTTAGTAGGGAGCTGTTTTAGATTAAAAGAGACTGCAGTATACCTGTCCATGCTTTGGAAACTGAAAGTGACTTTATTTGGAAAATGGGATCTTTGCAGATATAACTGAGGATTGTAGATTAATCTAGATTAGAAAAGTGGGTCCAAATGCAATAGTAAATGTCTATAAAGGAGAAAGGTAAAAGGGATTTAGGAAACATAAAAATTTCAATAATTTTTTAAAGGCGTTGTCCTGAGTGCTGTATAGTATTCTATTGTGTGAATGTACCACAATTTTTCAATCCATTCATTTGCTGATGGACATCTGGGCTGTTTTCATGTTCTTGCTATTGTGAATAATACTGC